GACTTATTTTACTAGAAAGGTTCTCAAATCGAGGTTGTTTGGGGGATATTCTAATAGAAAGGTTCTCAAATCGAGGTTGTTTGGGGGATATTCTATTAGAAAGGTTCTCAAATCGAGGTTGTTTGGGGGGGATATTTTACTAGAAAGGTTTTCAAATCAAGGTTGTTTGGGGGATATTTTACTAGAAAGGTTCTCAAATCGAGGTTGTTTGGGGGATATTCTACTAGAAAGGTTCTTCATATAGGAGTTTTTTTTTTCACAAAATATTATACTGAAATGTTTTTCATATATTTTGTGTTTCAGATAATATATCTTACTAAAATATTCTTAATATAATATTTGTCTACAGAAAATATTTATCCAACTAGAATGTTGTTTATATAAGAATTTTCTTCAGAAAAGTTTCTCCTACACTCATTGTTTGCATGTAGTGGATGTTTTCACAAATGATTGTACTAAAATGTTGTTTATATAGGAGATTTAGTGTCGTAATTTAAGCATTAGGTATAAATACTATAAATAAAGCTCTTACAACTCCCTGCATCATCGACTCATTAAATGTCAACATTAAGTTTTATTTATTCATCACATTGTAGATCTGGACTTCAAAGTATTCACCTATCATGAAATGTGGGAATTACAAATATTCGAAAGAACAGTTGTCGTTCCAGAGTTCAGGAAACACCTTGTCGATGGTTTATCACACCGACAAAAAATTTTCGTTTGGTGAAATTGGTTTTAGTTTGACTTTTACAGCGTGTTTTTACAGAGGTAAGTGATGTTGCGTTTTAATCGTCCCCGTTATACTCAATAACTAGGTTGTTGAAATTTTTGTCTCTATATACATACGTATCTACTGATAACAAAAAATAAACGAATCGAGATGAGTTATTACTATTTTAACAACTGATAGATAGCAAGTACAGTAAAATATTTTTAGTTTTATCCTTGTTTGCTCCCACTTTCAATTTTCTCTATGATTGTATACAAATTATGTAGATGTAAATTATATAAAAAACGTACGAACAAATTACAAGGAAACTTACCAAACCAAACTAATTTTACAATTTTCTCTATGATTGTATACAAATTATGTAGATGTAAATTATATAAAAAACGTACGAACAAATTACAAGGAAACTTACCAAACCAAACT